CAAATTCAATCCCTGACATTTCCAGTCAAAAGGATCTCCTACAACAAGGACCCTTACACTGAATCAGAGTATGGACCAGGCAGTTTCATATGTTCATATATTCATAATTCATAATGAATCATCTAGAACTATTTTGAAGATACTTTTGTGGTGGTGATGCACTCTGTTCTGCTTTAGAGATTGCTATGTGGAATAAAAGTACACATATTACCAAGAATTCTCCCACCCCCCTTTTTAGGAATCTATAAGTGCAAACATGACTTCTTTTTCGAAACATGAGCTGTGAGCAAAGATAAGATACCTTAGCTGATCTCTTCAGGAAATAATTCATAAATCACATCAGTATTTCGTTTAGATTCATCATAAATCGGTATTGCTACCCTAACACGCATGAAGCCCTTGTCATTAGATGGAGCTGTTGGATGAAAGGGCCACCCAGAGTGTATCCAATTAAAATCCCAAGCTATGTTCCAACAATCCTGTACCATGCATAAGATTGGAGGCCTGCAGCCAATGTTTTGGCTGGTAAATGTCAACAAACAACAAGCAGCTGTGGGAGAAATTCTTTTTTTCACCCCTTCCCAACGTTGCATGCTCTTAATGTTACACATCTCTGCCTCTTCCACACCTTTTGTCATCTTTCTTGTGTTTCTCAGTTCTTCATGTGTGCTGCCTGTAAGACTTACATACACCTTCCATTGCTATTTCCCTCACACACACATATCCTATCTCTCTTTCTTTCTTTCTTTCTTTCTTTCTTTCTTTCTTTCTTTCTTTCTTTCTTTCTTTCTTTCTTTCTTTCTTTCTTTCTTTCTTTCTTTCTTTCTTTCTTTCTTTCTTATAACTTTTTAATTGCATTTTATCACCTACATCCTAAAGGGAAGGGAACAGGGGGTAAACACTACATCTAAAACAAAAGATAAGACAAGGATCGTGATCTAAATGTTACAATGTATATATATATAAAAGTCCTGCAATAATAAGAAAGATCAATTTATCAAAATTCAGCTTAACACTAGCTTAATCTTAATACTAGTCTCTGGTGTTTTATAATCACTTATATGTTGTTGAAATATCCGTTTATCTTATACGTTTCTTCTTCTTGTACTTCAGATTTGTTTTAGGTATTTTAGGTGCAGCTGCCCCCTTCTGAGGTTTCCGGGGTACTGCTAGAGCTACTTGAGGTGTCGTCTGTTCCTCCATCACTGGTTCCCTCTTCTTCAATATTGTCCACAGGTTTTTTGTCATCTTTACTCGGGCTTTGTTGTTGTTTCAAAAAATCTTTGGCTTTTTAGACAGAGTCAATTTTATTCTTCTTATCTTTATAGTTGAATACAAGTCCCTCTGGAAAAATCCATCTATAAGCAATTGAATTGTGGAGGAAGAAGGTTAAATTGCTGCCTTCGCTTCCACATTTCAAATGGAATGTCCTTTAAAATTTTAACTTCTTCATCTTTAACCTTCAGAACTTTTCCAGATGTGGCTTTCAAAACATTGTCTCTGGTAGATCTCTTAGAGAATTTCACGTATATTTCTCCAGGCAGTTTGTTTTTCTTTATACAATCTGGATAGGTTCAGTAAGCCAAGTCCATATCATTTTGCAGTGCTTCTTGCTTAAGATCTGTCATTGATGCTAATGCTTCACTTAAAATTACTTTTAAGTTTTCTCCTTTTTGCTCAGGAACACCTTGAAAGCGTAAGGTATACATTGATCTTTCCATTTGGAGTTGCAGCAATTGGCCTTTATCCAAGACACTCTCTTTTTCCACTTCCCCCAGTTTTTGTTCAATATTTTTGGTCTTTGTTTCAACTCTCTTGATGGCTCTATCTGTTTTGTATGCTCTTTTATCCATCTGTGTTAGTTGCTTTTGGACACCATCCAGCTTACTGTTAATATTAGACATCTGCTCCAGCAGGGGGCACAATGCCGTAGCCAGCATATTGGGGAAGTCAGCAACTGCTTCCTGTGTCTGGGTGGGAGTCGTTGGTATGGTATTTCCTGTGAGAGGTGTCTTTTCCGGCATCATTCTTCTCCCTCTTCCAGACATTGTTTATACAAGAAGAAAGTTTTTGGATTTAAAGTCAAAGTTCTCTGATTTAAATATGCTTTGGATTATTTTGCACATTTCGGTCTCGGTTAGTCTCATACAATTAGTTTTGCTTATTTCCTTTTCTTTCTCGTTCAGGGACCATTCAGTTTCGGGGGGGGGTGATTCCCCAACTCTTCCTCCACCCACTGCTTGTTTCTCAAGTTAAATCCAATGGACTTAAAAACTTAGTTCCTTATATGGGGGATCGCTTAACTCACCGTTTTTTCGCGTTTAAATTATTGTAGGAGGGAAATCGCGCCAGATCGCTTGTCCACTCGTCTGGCAGCCAGCTCTTTTCACCATAATGGCTTGATGATGGCAGGACCTCTCAGGGTAGGGAGAGCCTCGATCCCTCAGCTGTCACCTTGGGAGCGGCTCTCCTCTGCACCCCAGGCTGAGAGTCCCCTAAAAGGACTCTGTGAGGGCCCAGATCCATCTGGGACCCTTCCTGTCCACCGCGACTCAGTGCGTCTCCATCAGGAACTCGATGGGACATGTTCGAGCCTCAAGTCACCAAAACCGGAAACCCCTATCTCCCTTTCTTGTTGACTGATTCTCTGTCATGATGCCATTCCTTCTCTTTCTGTCCATTTCCTCTGTTTATCTGTGCCTACTTCTGGTTGTTTCATCTTCTTTACTCCCAGGCTTTATTTATTGATTAACATTTGTGTGGTAACAATATTTGAATCAAATAGCAAAGATTCCTAGTAGAACCATACACCACAGTGGGGCTGGGATTGAATTGGAAGGGGGAAAGACTATATTTATTTATTTATTTTTCTAGCTTGTACCCTGCCCTGCCCTCCAAGGCAGGCTCAGGGCAGCTTACATAAAAGTAAATAAATAACAAATTACCATAAAAACATCTAAACACAGTTCATTATAAAACAGTGCAACATCATAAAGTGCTAGCAGTGTTGTTTCATAGTGGTGGTGTTACCATATGAGTGCATTCAATAGATTATCTAGATGTTCAGCTCACTGATCTTTCCTAGATATAATCAGCAGGCACAGGGCTGTATAAATTTCAGGGCTCTATAGCAAACCAAGGGCCAGGGCTCTATAAATTCCAGTTGTTGATAATTAAAGGCCTGGTGGAAGAGCTCCATCTTACAGGCCCTGCGGAACTGTAAAAGGTCCTGCAGGACCCTGATCTCTTCCGGGAGCTCATTCCACCAGTATGGAGCTGCCACCAAAAAAGGCCTGGTCCTGGTTGCAGCCAGCCTGGCATCCTTGGGGCCCAGGAGGACCAGTCAGTTTTGTGACCCTGACCGTAGTGCTCTCTGGGGTGTATATGGGGAAAGGCAGTCCCTCAGGTATGTTGGACCCTGGCCATAAAGGGCTTTAAAGGTAAGAACCAGCACCTTGAAGAAAATTCGGTATGCTGTCGGGAGCCACTGCAATGCCTTCAGGACAGGCTGGATGTGCTCCCGCATGGGGAGGCCCATCAGAAGCCATTGTTAAGGAGGCATCCAGGAGCACTTCCAAACTCCTAACCTCTGGCCCTGGTACCAACAGTGCCCCATCGAAGGCCGGGAGTGGGATCCCTACCTCTTGACTGCCCTGGTGCTGGCACAGGACTTCCATCTTCATCAGATTCCATTTCAGTTGGCTCAGTCTAAGTCAACCAGCCACGGCTTGTAACGCCTAGTCCAGATCTTCAGGTCTGGAGCCAGACAGACCGCCCAACATCAGGTAGATCCCTAATAGAGGGATCTCTTCAGCTGATCCATTACATCACAGCTCATAGCTCTGCTCCACTGCAAGAATGTCCTCCTGAATAATTCTGTTTTGCATATTTTGAGAAAAGACAGATGTGTGGGATGCTCCCGAATAGCCTCCAGTAGACCATTCCATAATATGGGAACTTCCACAGAGAACATTCATGAACAGGCAGTTATGGATTTTATCTGTTTGCACCTTCAGAAGGCTTTGCAATGATGAGTGAAACTGTCACAGTGGACCATAGCAGGAGAGGTGGTCCTGCAGATAACTTGGGTTCAATGCCATGAAGGGCTTTATAGGTGATAGTTAAAACTTTGAATTGAGCCCAGTATCTGACTGGTAACCAATGAAGTGTCTGCAGAGTATGAGTGACATGAAGATTCCACGTGGCATCCAGTAGTAGCTAGGCCGTGGCGTTCTGTACCAACGAGAGTTTTTGAGTCCCATGTAGACTGCATTACAGGAGCTAGCCTCAAGAAGAAGGAGATGACTTGGTTTTTATACCCTGCTTTTCTCTACCCTAAGGAGTCTCAAAGCGGCTTACGCTGGCCTTCCCTTCCTCTCCCCATAACAGGCACCTTGTGAGGTAGGTGGGTCTGAGAGAGTTCTGAGAGGTAACCATAGATTGGATCCATGAGGCCAGGTCAGCCAAGTCAAAAGTGGGGGCATCTTTCAAGCTAAGTGTAGTTGGTAGAACACAATTTTTGCTGCTGCTTCTCCAACCATAAAGCTGGATCCAGAATTACGCCTAGGCTGTTAATCGTCAGTGAGAAACCATTGGACCCCATCAAAAGCAATTAGCATGTTTTTCTGGGCCTTGGCCTTCCCAATTAATATTACTACCATCTTGTCAGGATTCAGTTTCAGCTTACCACAGTCAGGTGTTGGTTCAGAGACTCCATAGCTGACATGTGATAGGTGCGCTTGTTTGTGTTCACTGCTACAAATACAATAGAGTATGTAATTCATACTGCATTGTGTGTATATGTTATTGTTCAATATTCCATATTGATTTTTGGTTGCAATGTGGTTGAATAGAGTACACTGGAAAAACTATTAGTTCTACAGGTAACAGTGGTCATTATTATAATGAAGTAACTAGTTTTAAAATGTCATCAGAACTTTAAAAATAAGAGGAATACAATACCCATGTTTCTTGTAACTATTCTATTTTCTTCTTTTCAGAACTGTTTCTGTAACTCTAAAAGCTACTGCTATTGCGATGGAACAAAAGGCAGTAAGGTAAGAGTCTATAAATGTCTTTTCCATCTTATTTATCCCAAAGTTGTACATATGTTAGATTTTGTAAAAGTACCCAATTGAAGTACATAAGAACAAATGTAGTGTCGGCCAGTATCAACATTTTAATATTTCCTTGTCGTACGGATGTTACGGAAATTCTTGCACGTATCTAGAGTTGCCAGTGCTGAGTTTGGAAATTCCTGTAGATTTGGAGTTGAAGCCTGCTGAGAGCAGGGTGTGGGGAGAGGAGATGCCTCAGCGAGGTATAATGCCACAGAGTCCACCCTCCAAAGCAGCCATTAGATAATGCCTAATTAAGTATCCGATTTATGCATTCACATGTGCAGTGTGGTAGAAAAATTAGCTCACTTTTTATGTTCTTTGCAGTAGGCGTTGTCAAATAAAACGTTTTTTTTTAATTACCACAAATAAAACATCCCTGAAATAATTAAAATGACTTTCACTTGCAACAGAAAACAACTTCTACTCCTTTAATTTCTGAACTGATCTGCCCATTAAAAAAAATGAACTTTGGAAATGTATTTACAAACTTAGTTTGTTGTAAATCAAAGGAGAGAATGAATTCTAGGGGAAAAAGAGGGATTGGGAATTCCAGGGGAGAATGATGATGTGTCAGAAAGTGCTATCACTTACAGAGTTTCTATTCTTAAATTTCTGCTTATAGTGTATTAGATGGTGGCCCCAGTTCAGAGTCCCATGTATACTTAAGTATATATGAAAGGCACAAGAATGCACAGATATCCTCCGCTTAAATCCATGCATGCTTCGTTTATGAAATTATAATGGCTAACAAATTTATGGTATTGTACCCCCTCCAGTGGCAGATGCTGGAATAGCATAATATGGGGAAAATTAAAATCTGGTAGGCTGGTTTGTTTATTATTGGGTGCGTTCAGACAGGCAGCCAATCCCGCCATTATGCCAACTCAAATTTGATCCCGATCTTTTTATTCCGTCCTCGCATGACCAGACATCCCCCGGAGGAATCGCCTTACCGCATGCTGCTTCCACTGTGGATTGTCTAGACGGTGTCCACTGAAGAAGGCATGCGCAGTGGGTTGTTGTTGTTTTTTTTAAAAAAAAACCTTTTTGTACATACGCATAGGCGTGATCGCACATCCTTGTAGATCCACACATGTGCGGAATCAAATGTTCAAATCACCGCGTGAGGGATGCATGGCCGTAATTCCAACCAACAGGACAGCCCAAGCACAACCAAATTCTTCTTTCGTTTTCTGTTCTGACCCACGCTTGCAGGGCTGGACTAAACGAGTCCCGGCCATCCCCCTTGCCATTGAGATCATGCTCACTGGAGGAACTATTTTGCATGTCAAAAGACCCATCCTCCCTCCAGCTCTCATCCCATTAACCGATCGTCCTTAAACTCAGGGGTCATTCAAAACATTGAAGTGTTTTCGTTGAGCTGGATTGGGGTCCTGCAGTCTCATTTGTAAATGTGTTTAAGCGCATATTGAGTAGTGATTTTTTAAAAATTGTGCCTGCGGGAGGATTGCGCGCTGGTGGAATGATCAGACAGGTGAAAGTCCACGGTTGTCCCGTCGGGACCCTAAAACTCTAGATTTAAAGTGGTATCTTTTAAGTACGGCTCCGAAGCGCGGCAAAACGGGATGCCCACGGAACAGAGACGTTTCCCAGATGTTTGTATCTGGACATTACCTTTAAATCCGCCAGGCACTTGTGCCTGGCACGAATCTAAGGAGCCGTCTGAATAGACCCATTGAAGCAATCACAGGCTTAGTAAAACAATGCCTTTATTAGGACTAGCCAGTGTTCACATATTGTATTGTGTGTATTGATTGGTCCTAATAAGGTTATTATTTTAGAGACCCTGAAAAGATTCCTCTGATTTACACCATCACTATGGTTTCTATTATTGTATTACAACTATCAGTTTTTAAAGAGTTTAAAAACACTTCTTTCTTTTAACAGACATTCAGTTGTTAGCTTTCAGTCTGAGAAATAACTATGTGCTAATATTTTAATTATGTTGTTTCCATTATTGTAATAATTTTGAAATTGATTCTGAATTTAAGACACAATATAATTTTTGAATAAATACATGCAGCAGAAAACATTATAGATTTTGAGAAATCAGACAGCTAAACTAGAATAATAAGGGTTGCTTTCTTATTCACTATGTTTACTTGATATTTAAAAAATATAATCCATTTCACAGTCATTGATGCGGGTGTACAGAGATAACTGAAATTCAGAATTCACTGCAAACATACTTTAACTTTAGAGCCACACAAACCAGTCAAGAATAATATGTTTAAAATCCCTTGCCTTGTCTATATAATTTAATCCCAAGAATAGTTCTTGATTCAAGATAACAATGTAAAGGCATCTCAAAACTGAGATTTTAGTAGCAAGCCGTTGGCATCTGTGTCTCTGAAATAACTGGAGAGAACTGCATAGCCTGATTTCATCTACGACCGCAGAAGGCCAGAGTTTGTATGTTGGCTTCTAGGCAAGGAGGGATCAACTGACACAAAACATCAATATTTATTTAGCTTATTTTTATCATGTCCTTCCTCCAAGGAGCTTAGGGTATCATTCATCATTCTTCCCGTCTCCACTGTGTCCTCTCAACAACCCTGTGAAGTAGGCCATGTTAAGAAAACGATTGCCTTAAGGTCACCCAGTGAGTTTCAAGGCAAATTTCCAGCTATACTTTCCCTATCCCACTTAGTTGTTTAAAGCTGCCATCTCTGGCTTGGACCCTCAAGCACTGTTGCTTAGTTGAAGTGTGAGCTTCTCACATACTGAAGCCCAGCTTGAATTCCTGCCTACCTCCATTCCCCTTCCACAGACACTGACAAACAATTCAAAACTAGTATTTCTCAGCTAAACATGTTGAACAGGATTGTCCGGGGAGTCTCAGGAACAACTAGGGTTATCAACATCAAGGGGCCTAGCGTTTTCCCAGAATTACAGCCTATCTTCAGACTACAGAATCAGTCTCCATGGAGGAAATGGCAGCTTTGGAGGGCAGCTTCTATGACATCACATCCCTGCTGATCTTCCCCCTCCCCAAACTCCACCCATCCCAGGTGCTGCCCTCAGGTCTCCAGGAATTTTCCAGGCTGGAGTTAGCAACCCTAGGAACAACTTCATGCATTTCCAGAATGAAAGAAACAGAATGACTGTAATGCTTGTTCTAGTGAATTTACTTTTTACAAGCTTTACTGTATTTCCCTAGAATTTGAGAGTCAATTTGCACAGGTGAATGGCCATTATATGATCACATACAGAAATACATTCTAGCAGTTGGTGCTCCATAGATATACTCCAGATGTGTTTTCTCTTATAATGGCAGCACTTTCAGAATGTGGAATGGATTTTTTGAAGGCTGTATACCTTTCTGAACCAGCCTTTAGTCTTTCAACACTTGACTATGTAAGTTTCAATGTAGACTTGAGAAGCTACGTGTGAGTTGATCTATCTTCTTGCATGTAGTGAAATGGTTATATGAGCATTTCACTGAGTGCCCAGCTTTCAATTTAAGACACATTTATGGAGCTATACACCATATACAACCTATCCCTTTCAGCAGCTTTGATATGGCATGATAAATGTGACCTAAACCCACATTCTCAGTATGCGCATCTGCATTTGAAGAGTCATAGTTTTTTCAGCTGCTGCAAGAAAACTGCTGAATTGTAACTGCATTAGCTCCACAGCTGGTGGCTTTATACCAGCTGTGAAGTATTTCTCAATGGAATTAGAATTCCAGACCATTTATAATATCTGAAGAAAGGTGTCAGCAGTGTTGTTTGCACTGTTTGTACTCTCAGTTAGACTTTGGGTTTTGCAGTTGGCCTGGGTAAACTAATTGAGGTTTAATTCTGAGATCTTTATTTTTGGCAAAATCATGACTGAGGGTATGTTCAGCTGGCAGTTCTGAAGGCCGCTTGAAAGGAATCCGGCACACATCTTTCTCCTGCAGTCCAACCTCCTCTTGCTACTCTCTTCCCACCCACATCACAAGGGACTGCAACCAAGGAAGTACAGTGTTAACAGTAGTAGCGGAGCAGATTGCCTTCTGTTTTGCCAGCTTTCTGTTCCAAGGTACATTATCTGCAGTTAATTTTTCAGACAAAGTGGAATGAATGTATATAAAGACAAATTGCTTTTTATAGGGTGAAAAGGGCTTTCCTGGTTTCCCTGGTTCACCTGGCCATTTGGGTTTCCCTGGCCCAGAAGGCCCCCCAGGGCCTCAAGGACCTAAGGTACTTACAACTTAATATATGTATTCATGTGTGTTATTCTTTGTGTGTTTGCAGCCGTGTGTGAGAGATATGAAATTATGAGTAATTTCACTGAAAAAGTAACAAATTCTAAACTTGTAGCTTAATGTAAAATAAACGTATTTAGAATAATCTCACATTCTTTTCAGAAACCTACATTTGAGCCTTTTTCAGACTCACAAAACCAGAATATGCTTTGACTGTCCATTTACAATTTATTATTTAACAACAACAACAACAACAACAACAAAAAGATATTACTTATTCAGTTGTGGTCCAGAAATTAGTTAAATTTGGACACAATATAGAATGAATAAAGAATGTTAAAGTCCACTTGATTCCAAAAGATTATATTTTAAGAGTATAGTTAACTTTCCCAGTGAAATTAGTGAAAATTAACAGTGCTTAAGTATGGGATACATTTTTTCTTTTGTATTAAGTAGTCTATTACCATAAAATCTAAATCTTGCAACTTTGTAAGATTTAATTGTCTCTCAGCCTCCTAGGGTTCATTTACCAACACATCTAGCATTCTCCTCCCCCCCCCCCCCCCCCCCCAGGTCAGGGGATATTACCTCATGGTAGATGTCAGCAAGTATTGTAGTTTTACAAATGATTCTGTTATCAAATCAACAAATATTTCAAAACCCAGATTTTAAAGATTTGGCCTATGAGTTAATTAAATACTCAGATGAGATTAAATGAATTAGAAATTCAAAATTGAATGAGATTAATTAGAAAGCTATTTCATAGTTGAAAATATGAGCTGCCACTTACTTTGTCTGTGAAAACTGTATTCTGTCAATGAGGTGTTTCTTGTTTTTTCTGTTGCCATATTTTAGCCCTAGTGGATAGGGGTCAAATTATTGCTTTAGATCTTTCTGGGGGGGGGGGTGTTTTCTTTGTGACTGTTTTTTTTTTTTTGGTTACACCTGTTTTTTCTCTTTCTAAAAAGAAGGTACAGATTTTGGAAAGCCAATATGTTAGTGAATTTGACTTGATTAGCTACTGGACTGCAACAGAAACAGGACCACAGAAGAAGAAAGAAATCACCTCCTTGAACCTCCTGAAGCAAGATGACGTTTTGCTAACTCTAGCTCTCCTTTTGCTTCCCAGGGTTTTCCAGGGCCAGTAGGCTTTTCTGGATCTAAAGGCTCAAGGGTTGGTATTTTGCTTAATATCCTAACAATAAATTGGGGGCCCAAAGGGAATTGCAGGTGGGGTGAACAATGTATAAATCTGACCCCTACTCCAAAATTTTCCCCTTCAGGATTCAGTGGATGCTCAGTGGCTTGAAAAGGCTAATTACCCACCCCTCATCCTATGGCTGCTCTTAACAAGCATAGCTCATGGAGCTTATTCAGTATTCATTAAAGTCATTTTGGGATGTCCTTTGGTTAATTTACAATGTAATGTTTTTCCATGTACCTAGGAAATTTCATTGATTTAAATAAAAATCTAAAACTTGCTTGAACAGTGTCCTGAATCTGACCTGGATATGCATCATTGGGATGAGAATTTTTATAATTTGTACATTTGTTACCCGTCTAAGAATATCTTGCTCTGTCAGTTGAATTGCATCACCGCACTCATACTAGAGTTAGCAAATGATGTGCTTTGGAACCTTGAACAACTGACAGTGCAATCCCAAGAAGAGTTACATCTTTCTAAGTCCACTGTCGTCAGTTTCATTAAAATGTTTTATTTTAGGTCATTCAAAATAGTTTTATCTCATTAAGCACAACCATGTGACTGTTCTTTTTTCCCCCTGTTCCTTCTTAATGTTAGGGAATGCCAGGAATACCTGGTTATTCAGGTCCTCCAGGTCTTCCAGTAAGTAAAATAAAACTTTTAAAAACAAATTTCTAATGTATTTCTTACCTCAACCACCTAAGCTTTGTTAATTTTATAAAACTTAAAGAGAATGGTTGATAGCAGTGTTTTGTTGGTTAAGAAGAATCTAGTTTTGCTAATGATCCAAAGTCATTTGTGAGTTCTAAATCTGCACTAATAATCACTTTGGCAATGGTGTAACTGCTTTTTAGGGTGAACCAGGAAATGCTGGTTTGCCAGGATGGCCAGGAATACCAGGATGCAATGGAACCAAGGTAGGAACAAAACCAGTCACTTGGTGGCCTTCAGTTAACCTGCATGGTTGCTAATATATCAACCTGTGGCACGCCAGCACCAGAGCTTGTAAAATCAAAAGAAGGTGTGCATGTCACTGGGTGTGTATGGAGGGGGAGGTATTTGTGAATTTCCTGCATTGGTAGGGGGTTGGACTAGACAACCCTGAAGGTCCCTTTCAGCTCTAAGATTCCATGATTCTTCTATGGTTCTATGTGGAGTCAGGGATTTCTAAGGGCCTATTACTCCTCTTTCTTTCTCCGCCAGTCTTTCTCTTATTGCCTCTTTTTCCCCCCCAGGGTGAGCGGGGATTCCCAGGGCTTCCAGGGCCACATGGACCTCCAGGATTACCAGTAAGCTTCAGTATTTAATGGTCAAGTTTAACAGTGAGGTCTTTATTATGATTTGTCATCACCAAGGTTCAAAAAGAGGAAAAGGCTAGGGATTGTGTTTCAGGTTGTCAAATGATTCTTTATTCGGATCACTTCAGTCTTAAGAATGAAATCTGCTGCTCTTTCTCTACATTTTTGTAACTGTCCACTTAACTTCCATAGTTTAAGTATTTTAAGTTTTGAACACCTTCCCTCCCCATGAGGCCTTCCACCTTAAAAGCTGCCTTGTTAAGTTACTGCTGTTAGATTTTATACATTTATAGTAGTGTGTTTTATTTTTTTGTCTCATAGGGTCCTAAAGGCATCAAAGGAGAGAGGGTAAGTTTGTAAACCAGTAAAAGTTCAGATTGGTTCAGAATGAGGCTGATGGGGTTCTGACCAGGGGAGGCCATTTGGAGCATCAGGGCCGTATGGAGCATCAGCATCACGGTTCAAGCCTTTTGCTGGACAAACACCTTCATCTGATGCCTCCTTGGAGTGGACAAGGGAGTGGGTGGGTCTAGACCCCTTCCTCCAGGTTCCAGCATGGGCTCCAGAAACAGCACCTCTGCAACCTTCCCAGGACCCAGAAGGCAGTGACACCAGTCAAGGAGTTGATGATGAGTGCAAGACACACCTGTCACTTCCTCTCATGTAACCTCTGTTTGACAATTTGGTGCTCCAAGTTGACATTAGGCTTGCTTGGGCAGTGCACTGACTCTGTAAAACACAAGCAGCCCTCTATAAGTCACTCACTTGCAGATGCTTTTCAAGGTCCTAATGAAAGTGCTAGTCTTAACCTTTAAGGCCCCGAACATACATTAAAGGACTGCTTTCAAATAGCTTTTCTAAGATTTTCCTTGGCGACCTTGCTTGGTATACCGCTGCAGGGCCCTCTCACATTGGCACCAGGATTGTTGAGATTCCTCCTGAGTGATTCCAGGGGAGTTCCTACTTATATAGTTCTTCCTGCCTTTCCTCTCCCCTTTCTTCTTTCCCTGGGATAGTGATAATGTTGTTATACGCCATTTGATTAATTGTACATATCTGAATTTGTTATTTTATTTGTTTTAACTGTATTTTAAACTGTTTATTATATGTTGTAATTAGCTCTGAGCCCCATGATAGTGGGGGAGAATGGAATAGAAATAGAAAGAATACATAAATAAAAAACCCTCCCCCAGCCACCATTAATGCATCATATTGTATTATGTTACGTTTTGGGGTATAATTAGGGTTATTTAATACCATCTGAGCATTCATCCTCTGTAGCCAAGTATGCTGGACTAATGATCCATTGTTCTAAGACATGGGATAACAAAACATAACAAATTGAACTAATAATAATTATCGTTGTCATCATCATCATTGTATGGCAATGTGTGTTGTATAGCCAGGAGATAGGAGGATTGTCTGGCAGCTGAAGTTCTAACTCTTTAGTGTTATACACCACTAGTGTGATGAGCTGGACTTGTTGGTGGTCTGAGAGAGCTCTGTGAGCTGTGACTGACCCAAGGTCACCCACCTGGCTTCATGTGCAAGAGTGAGGACTCAAACACAGTTCTCTGGATTAGAGTCCTGCCACCCTTAACCACTACACCAAACTGGCTCTAGAACATTGGACTAATTCACTTTTTCTAATTAAATTTTCAAGGGATATCCTGCAAATGGATATGATGAGGGTGACAGAGCTAAAGGCGATTCTGGACTTCCAGGAATACCTGGCTCTCCGGTAAGCTGTTTCTTAATTAATAATAATAATATAGTAATAATAATAATACTTAAGAATCAAATAATCTTGGGATACCTTAAAGACTAAACAAATGTATTGTTGTGGTGAACCCAGGGGAGCTTTTTTAAAAAAAAAAAAATTAAAAGCTTTATTTCCTCTCCTAAAAAGGAGAGATATTTCGCTTAGTTAGAAAAGGGGAGGGTATATAGTGGGGTCAAGAGAAAGGTGAGTGATGTTTTAACTGGTAAAGTTAATCTGTTAGTAATATTAAAATTTTCTTCTTTGGCTTCTTCTGTGTGTTGTCAAACTTCTTTTTTTCAAACCGGTTAGATGCATTGTCTATGTTAGTATATTAGTAGTGTCCCAATGGTACTCCGTTAGCAAAGTCTTGTCCAACGATTTTTA